CACACCCTTATAAGCAATGAATATTCGGAAATAAACCATTTAATAGGTTAAGAACTAAATGAACATCATCAAAAATAAATTTTGGTAAATTCATATCACGTAAAGCTCTTAAGGCCACCCCCCCCCCCTCAAAAAACTATTTCAGCCCAGGAATGTCCGAATTAGATGAAACTTTCAGGATATGTTGGGGTTGGAAACAGAAGGCTACCATAAAATTTTCAGCCCAAAATCTACAGGTTTCAGGGAGATATGAACCAAAAAAGCGTCAAAAATGACTCATTTGGCATCTCAAATTTTTCGGTCCTGATTCGGTCAACATATTAATATTTTTTTTTGTTGGAAAGAGCATCTCAAGGCGCAGGGCATGACGCGGCCGCTTTTTTTAAACAGTCCTTTTTTAAGCGCAAAAAATGGATCACAAGTTCAATGTCTCAAAAAAGTATCAAAAAATGGTAGCAAAATCATATAAATGGCTGTATATTAACCAAACAAAGGCTTAATTAAAAAAAAAGACACGGTCATGCCCTGCGCCTTGAGATGCTCTTTCAAGCAAAAAAAAATTTTAATACATTGAACGAATCGGGAAGGAGAAATTTGGAATGCCTTTTTGAGAAAGTGGAAACTGAGAAAAAGCGAAAAACATTTTTTGATTTTTCAAAAAATAGCTGGTTTTTCGTATAGGGGTTGACGAAAATCTTGAACATTTTTTGGGAAAAATGAAGTAACGAGAAAAACAAATTATCGTTTATGAAAGAGCAGATGACGGGCTATCTTCCCATGCATTTATCTCAACTTTGACCATTCTGATGAAAACTGACTTTTTATGAGGGGGGGGGGGGGGGTGGCCTTAAGAGAACCACTTCTTCCCAATCGTCTTTCATTATTGTTTGTTTTAAATAATCTATCATGGATAATACAGCTTTAAAACTTCTTAAACCCGAATTACAATGACACTAAAACATCATGAAAAACAACTTATTAGTGCAGCTCTAATGAACTGAGATGTAGAAATCCGAGTCCGATTCGAGTCACTAAAAATTGACCCAATGTCGAACTCTGATAAATATCAAACAGATACCTCCATGATGGCCCTTTTTTTAAAAACCATCGCGTCACGGCAGCAATAGATTTCCAGCCGCGATGGATACTTTGGTATCAAAATGTACTGTAGAGAATTTTTATCGTTTTTCTATTAGTTTAATTTATCCATTTCGGTAAGTTCCAAAACTCGATTTATCTTCTTTAACTACAGTAGTTTCAAATAGTATTTATAACAATTTTTCCATCAGGTACTTTAAACTAGATCTGGTTTAAAAATATGAATGTCACAAAGCAATTTTTCATTTTTCAAGTTTGATGATCTTAATATTTGTTTCTATTTTTGTCAAAACATCTGAAATGCATTTTGTCAGAGTTTCTTCCTGATAATATTTATGTTTCATCTCTGATAGTATTTTAACTTCATTTTTGATTATTCTTCCAAGGTTTCCTGGCTGAGTGTTGTTTACTTTATCATATTCATCATTTTTAATCAGATCTAGTTTAGACTGTCACACGAAAGAAATTTTTCTGCACCGATAGCCGTCAAATTTTAGAAATTTTCTCAATTTGATACTAAACAGTTGTCATAATCCTTTTTATTTCATACTGATAAATTTCATTTTTAACGCATTTTAATTTGGTAGAAAATTTGTTATGAATACTATTTGAAATCACAACATTACCTCCCTTGGATAAACATTTCTACGCACCCTGTACATGAATTCTAGATTTCTAGCTTTTTCAGGAATGCATATTTTGTTAAGGTGGTATAATACAGATGAATGAGCTGGACAACTGCTCGTTCTTGTAGAATATCAGTCTTCTTTGGAATACACTTTATACCTGTATTTGTACAGCTTTCATCTTCGGTCTTAGTAACTGTAAAATACAATTTTTCTTTCCTAACTCTTTTCACTTCAGATTTTGAGACAAATTTTATCGTCTTTTATTTCATTTATATAATAAACACCAACAAAAAACTGATATAATCAGGAAAAAAAAAACATTGTTTTAACTAAACCATATGATGACTATTGTTCTTGTTCTTCTTATCTTGTTTATTTTGTTGTTGCGTTTGAAGTTCATGACGAAGAGCTTCTATATGACCTTGATTTTCATGATCATCTTCTTTTTCTTTAATAGAAAGTGCTGCAGGAACAGGTGGAGTTGGTGTAGGATTTGTTCTCAAAAATTCTCATAATTCATTTCTATTTGAAAAAAAAACCAACAGTTAATATTAAATTATAATAAATTCACCACTTACGTTAATCCATCAAGACCAATTGATGCAAAAAAATTGATTGAAAATTTAGTATTTTTTGGATTATCACGAGGAAAAAGGCCTTGAAAATATTCTGTCAATGTTCCATATTAGAAAACAACAAATTAACTTATATCTTCTAGTCTATCGATAACTCACGGATCAGTTAAACAATTATTAAGTTCGTTGAAACCATCAAGAGATTTAACTAATTCCAAAAATAAACTTTTAATATAAACACGTGATGATGATGTTGTATCTTATTCGGTTAAACGAATACAACGAAGCACCTAGCGGAAAAATAGAAACATTGTCTTTATTTAATATTAAAAGTTAATACATACACTCCATGAAATCAAATTTGTAGCCAACATATATGCAAAAAATTTTGGCACATTTTTCAATTTGACATTTTCAAGATGATGAACTAAGTCATATTGATCTTGAAAAGCTTTTTCAAAACATTCAATATATTCTGTTTTTAGTAAACAAAGACGTTGACCAAGTAAACCAAAAAAAGGATCATATCTTCGTTTTTGTGCACAATTGTCAAGAATTATCGGACATACTTTCACATCTACAAATTAGATTTAATCATAAATAAATACTCTTCTTTCATATATAAAAAAACATACTTCTTGTCCAGGAGGTATATTCATTCTAACTAGTTTACGTGTACATTTTTCAGCACTATGATTTAAGTCAATTGTTAAAAACATTGTACGAAAAAGCGCTAGAAAATTTGTATTTATTTGATCGCTGATTGATTGTTGATTTTCATCTAAGAAAAACAAAACTTAGAATTGTTTTGAGCATGGGAATGTTAGATGGCTAACTCTAGATCGTCGATTAGATGATAATTAAAGATGAATGTGCTTAGATCATACTTCTTTTATTCATGAAAAATCACAGACTATATATAGGATAGTGGATCACACATCTTTGGCATATATCCATCAAGTGATCGAGGTAGAGATAAATCCCAAAAGACATAATACATATGAGAAGATGACACATACAGAAAGGAAAAGATCAAACATATGTGACAGACAGAAATATCCAAATATATGTGATGTCCCTAGCAGTCAAAATTAAGCAAAAAACGCGTTATAACGAACGTTATTACGTTTTCATGGGTTAATAAATGAGTATTTTAGTACTATAAAACACAGAAAATTTGTCAATATTGAATACTAGTTATTTTTTATTAGGAGATTTCTATGTGTACTCTGACAGTTATCAGAAAGAAAAACAACAAGAGAAAAAAAGGATTTTTAGATCTGCATATATCTCTAAATACAGTTCACATTTTTTAACAGAATTTGCATAGGTTATTTTCATTTCCTTTATATGTACTTTGTTTAAGAAGTCGACTGTACTTAGAGATATATGTATATGTAACAATCATTTTTCTCTTGTTGTTTTTTTTTTCTGATAACTGTGAAAGTACACATAGAAATCTCCTAATGAAAAATAACTAATTAGTATTCAATATTGAAAAAAATTTCAATGTATTTTAATAG